AAAAAAAAAAAAAAAAAAAAAAAAACTCTTCTATCCCCCCCCCCATGTGTTTCTCGATTTCAATGTACTATTTTGGTTGTTGGTCGCTACAACTTGGTCATTGTTCATGAAGGAGTCAAGGAGTCGTGCGCTACAACTTGGTCATTGTTCATGAAGGAGTAAAGGAGTCGTGCGCTACAACTTAGTCATTGTTCATGAAGGAGTCAAGAAGTCGTGCGCTACAACTTGGTCATTGTTCATGAAGGAGTCAAAGAGTCATGCGCTACAACTTGGTCATTGTTCATGAAGGAGTCAAGGAGTCGTGCGCTACAACTTGGTCATTGTTCATGAAGGAGTCAAAGAGTCATGCGCTACAACTTGGTCATTGTTCATGAAGGAGTCAAGGAGTTTTGCGCTACAACTTGTTCATTGTTCATGAAGGAATCAAAGAGTCGTGCGTTACAACTTGGTCATTATTCACGAACGAGTCAAGGAGTCGTGGCACTGAAGAGGTCGTGTCAGCATTATATTAAGCTGTTAGTGGTTTGAACTATCTGAACTTGGATGCCTAAGTGATCGTTACAGGTTCTATGCATGCGCTTTACACATCTCCCCATTGGTTGGAACATATTATAATTATAGAATAGGGGCATGAGAAGATAATAAAAAAAATTTACACCGGGACTCGGACTCACCGGGTATGGTCTGAAAATAACCGGAGCCAGACCGGGTATAAACAATGCACCCGCCTCAGCCGTAGTTGATAGATGGCTTGGTCGCAATTCAAAGTTGTCAGCCGTAGTTGATAGATGGGTTGGTCGCAATTCAAAGTTGTCAGCCGTAGTTGATAGATGTGTTGGTCGCAATTCAAAGTTGTCAGCCGTAGTTGATAGATGGGTTGGTCGCAATTCAAAGTTGTCAGCCGTAGTTGATAGATGGGTTAGTCGCAATTCAAAGTTGTCAGCCGTAGTTGATAGATGGGTTGGTCGCAATTCAAAGTTGTCAGCCGTAGTTGATAGATGGGTTGGTCGCAATTCAAAGTTGTCAGCCGTAGTTGATAGATGGGTTGGTCGCAATTCAAAGTTGTCAGCCGTAGTTGATAGATGGGTTGGTCGCAATTCAAAGTTGTATTCGTTATTAACAAATATGTTCAACGTAATCGATTATTGAGTTTAATGGCATGTGGACAATAAGTCATAAGTCTTAAGGCATGTGCACAAAGTCATAAGTCTAATGGCACGTGCACAAAGTCATTGGTCTAATCGCATGTGCACAAAGTCATTAGTTTAATGATATGTGCACAAAGTCATTAGTCTAATCGCATGTGCACAAAGTCACTAGTCTAATCCAATGTGCTCAAAGTCATTAGGGATATAAATATTAAATTTGTGGGGCAGTCCAGTATGAGTGAAAAGATTAAGTTTAGCGAATAAAAAGTATACCGGTACCTTACAACATATACAAGCACTGTTATAAAAAGTGTACCGGTACCTTACAAAATATACAAGCAATTGTATAAAAAGTATACCAGTACCCTACAAAATATACAAGCAACTGTATAAAAAGTATACCGGTACCTTACAAAATATACAAGCAATTGTATAAAAAGTATATCGGTACCTTTCAAAATATACAAGCAATTGTATAAAAAGTATACCGGTACCTTACAAAAGATACAAGCAATTGTATAAAAAGTATACCGGTACCTTACAAAATATACAAGCAATTGTATAAAAAGTATACCGGTACCTTACAAAATATACAAGCAATTGTATAAAAAGTATACCGGTACCTTACAACATATACAAGCAATGTTATAAAACGTACAACTTAAACTTTGTTATTATTGTGAATTTTGGGGGCCGTCTATAAAGTACGTCTTGCTATCTTTGGACAATTTTACCCCCCCCCACCCTTCTTCCCATGTCACAAGCTCTCATAAATTTCACCTCCTCTACTACATACTTTATTATTAAACCATTAAATTAATAAAAGTGACATCTTCTGCTAGGATACATCCATCACACTAGAAAGTTCAACATCACTGTCATGTTCAGGTTTTATATGTAAGAAGAAAGAACAAGCTTTTATTAAAGCTTCCTTTGAGCACTATTTACCCCAACGATTTGGTGTTGACTAGAGACCGACCGAAAGTGATTTTCTGATTTCGGCTGAAAGTTTAAAATGACTTTCGGCCGAAACAGAAGCCGAAAATGAAATATTTTGATATTTTGAAATTCGTTCCCGCATACATTCTGCATGCATCGAAAATGATGGGGGAAAGTATAAATATTTATATTCTTTTTATAAAAATGAGATAATCAGGAATATAATAACTAAACATCTAAAATAACATCTTGTTGTTAAAGATCATTTAGTTTGTTCTTAAATATCGCTCAGTTGTTCTTAAAGATCATTCGGTTTGTTCTTAAAGATCATTTAGTTTGTTTGTATAGATCTTTTAGTTTGTTATTTAAAATCGTTTAGTTTGTTCTTAAAGATCACTTATTTTGTTGTCGAAGATCACTTAGTTTTTTCATAAAGATTGCTTAGTTTGTTCTTATAGATGATAGATTTTGTTCCTTAAGATCGATTAGTTTGTTCTTAAAGATCTTGTAGTTTTTTTCTAAAGAACATTTAGTTTTCTGTTATAGATCGCTTAGTTTATTCTTAGAAATCATTTAGTTTACTATTAAAGATATTTTGTTTTGTTCTTAAAGATCACTTAGTTCGTTCTTAAAAATCGCTAAGTTTGTTCTTTAAGATCGTTTATTTTTGTATTAAAGATCGCTTAGATTGTTCTTTAAGATCACTTAGTTTGTTGTTAAATATCATTTAGCTTGTTCTCAAAGATCTCTTAATTTGTTCTTAAAGATCGCTTTATTTGTTTTTAAAGATCACTTTATTTGTTTTTAAAGATCGTTTAGTTTGTTCTTAAATGTCTTAGCTTGTTGTTACATATCGATTTTGCTGAGAATGAAATGACCGAAAACATCAGTCACTTTCGGCCGGATGGCCGAAAGTCTAATTCAATTTCGGCCGAAACTGAAAAAAACGAAACCGAAATTAAGCCGAAAGTTAACTTTCAGTTTAGACCTTAACCGAAAATTGGTCGAAAGTGATAAAATGGCCACTTTCGGCGCCAAAACCGAAATTCGGTCGGTCTCTTGTGTTGACCCTATTGTGGCTCATTAACCTCAGTTGGCCGACCACAGGCCTATAATGTAGGCTAATTAACAAACCTCAGTTGACCGACCACAGGCCTATAATGTAGGCTAATTAACAAACCTCAGTTGACCGACCACAGGCCTATAATGTAGGCTAATTAACAAACCTCAGTTGGCCAAATACAGGCTTATAATGTAGGCTAAACCTAATTCACCCCAGTTGGCCGAGCACAGGCCTATATTGTACCGTAGTTTTCTGATTCTCATGTTTACAGATTAAGATGAGACAAGATTAAGTTATTTATTCGATTTACTGATTACTCCCCCCCCCCTTAAACCCGTTTCAGTTAAAAGTCATGCATTACATCCACTGAATACTCCCCCCCCCC